CGGACATTAAGTGTTTTCTCGGCTCGGACACGAAGGTAATCTAAACCTGGCAGACGCCCTCCAAGCGTCCGACGTGCGTCTCGGTCCGATCGGATACACTATCGGATCCACTGTCCGCCACCTTGGGGTCCCGAATGGGAAGGAAGGGGGAGGGGGGAGGGGGGGGGCATTCACTTTTCGGTGGCAACTTGAAAAGGGGTCGTATTGCGGTTGCCGTTTTTTACGGTCGTAAAACTTGGTCACGGGGGTTGGCTAAGTAGCTCTGGTTCCCACGTCTAACGACCGTCCGCGCCCCGCCCCGCCCCGCCCCGCCCCGAACCACCCCTCGGGCCGTCCCGCCCCCGCAGGTCGATCCATGCGCCTTGTCATGCCAACGCATGTCCGCCTAGCCCGGCCTAGCCCGCCCGCGATGCGGCCCTACAGGGCCACGACGGTGATAACCGGAACTGGCATTAATTAACGAGAAAGTGTGATTAATGGGCCGTTAACGCGACGCGCTGTGATTATGTCTTAAATTTGCTGCCCTTTCCCCGTCACTTCGCACCATGACGTCCTCGGACCGGACTGCTGGGCCTGCTCGGCCACTCGGAGTTAATCGTGTCGTAGAAATAGCGAACAACTGTCCAGCTCTGTGTGTACATATATATTTGGACGAGGCGTGTGTGTTCACGAGCATGTGTATGTGTGGCTGGTGGCCCTGTTGGTAGAAGTGTGTGTGAGTGTGCGTGTGTGTGTACAGCTGTACGCCAATCGCCCGATGTACACAACGCTGTTGGCTCTGCCACGCCCCAATCGTGTGTGTGTGTGTGTGTGTGTGTGTGACAACAAAGTTAGTTACTGGAGTGCTTCCGTAAAAGCCGTAACACGTGGCAGCCCCGCCAGCTCGCTCGTAGGTCATTGTAATATCACTCCGGTGATATTCCCAATTCCCAACGTGTTTGCCGACAAAATATTAGATTCATTTTCATTCGTGACCCCGCCACTCCGGCCGCGCCACACACCTGAACACTCGGCTCCGAAAGAGAGGACAGGGCATCGATCCGAATGTACTTGACCCACCCTGTCGGGGCTCGTCGTATATCAATTCGCGACATAAAAAGCAGCAAGTGGCCCGGAATCGAACCCGACACCTGTCACTCTTGGAACCGGTGCGCGAGTGCACTCGACTACGGGGAGGAAGCCTCCCCAAAATACGCGGCCGGCTTGACCGGCTGGTACACCGCAGCCGATGAAGTCGGCCGGTGCAGCAAGGCCAACACGGCGCCAAGGGCGCTTTATTTCGGGCTCGGTTTGTTTGTGTGGCGGTGCGGCGGTGCGGCAGTGCTGCGGTGCGACAGTGTGGCGGCGCGGTGCGGTCCTGCGGCGACAATAAAGGAGCCAGAGTGTCGCCTTTCCGCGGAAAGCCAAACACGAAAGCCAAGCACCCACTGGTGCCGCCTGTGAGTCAGGCGGTGACTCGAGGGGCTCCGGGCCCGGAGCAGGCTTCGGGTCTTGTGCCTCGGGCTTCGTGGCTCGGGCTTCGGGACTCGAGCCGCAGGCTTCCAGCCTCCGGATTTCGACTTCTGGCAAGGTCCGGGACTAGGCGGGCTTTGGGGCGAGTTTGAATGGACAAAGGGCCGCGGGCCGGGCCGCTATCCGTTCGGCTTATCGGCGGGTTGTCATGGCGGCACCGCGACAGACGCCGCCTTGATAACGCGTCGCGAGCACGCTGCTTTTCCGAACAACCCGGTCTCTGTCGCACTCATGGAGCGTTCCGCACAGAGCCGCTGTCGGCGCACGCGTGCGCGAGCACTGTTCGGATTCCATAGGATTCGCTTGTTTCCCTCTCTCGCTTTGCTCGTGATTAAAAACGAATGAAAGTTAGTTAGCGAACACAAGTTGAGGGCGACTGGGGGTGGGGGCTGGCGTATTCAACAGGCCCGAACGAGGTAGTCAGTCCCGTCGTGCAGCCCTGCGCCGCGGGTGGGCCTGCCGTGCCGGGGCCATTGCTGCCTCTCTGGGTTATCACTGGAGACGGCCTGCCTCTGAGCCTCGGCCGCCGCGTCGCTTTGAGTGGGATCGAATTACGGATTGGGCGGCTCGCTGATTGGAGTTGGGGTGCTCTCTCCGCGCCTCCATATTTCCAAGTCCTTTCTTTTCTCGAGGCGCTCGCCAAAAGCTTGGGGGTGATTTGTGGACGACCTTGTAGTGCGGGAACTGGGGCGCTGTGCCCCTCCAGCCCAGCCAGCCCCGCCAGCCCCGCCAGCCCCGCCCGCCAGCCCCGCCAGCCCGGCGCCTGGCTTCCGCGCAGCTTCGCAGCTCGCACTGCGTATCGACGATCCCATTTGACCGAGCTGCGACGGCGTGGTTTTCGCTCGCAGTGTCGTGCCGGAACGGACCCGAGGGGCTCTGCGCTGCGCTGCGGGGCTTGTGCAGCTTGGCGTACTGCGTACTGCGGGTGCATGCGGTACGATGCGGTCAGACAGTGCCGGTGGCGGGGGCTGGCGGGGGTCGGTGGGGTCCCTGCTGAGACCGTTCGGGGAGTGTTCGCGACGCAGAAGGGGGCTCGCCAGGATTGGCGTGTTTACGTCGTCGGCCTCCCGACTGGGCATGGCAAGGCAGGCGCGGCGCTTGGCCGCAACACCATACAGAGAGTCGTAGGCTCGGCCGAAAAAGCGCTCACTTGTTTCGGCGTCAATGGGCGGACCTTGTTTTTAAAGCTGCGTTGTGTTTCAGGCGCATGCGCAGTTTGTCAAGGAGCTCAGGGAGAACTCTGACGTAGGTACACTTTGGTCGTCGCAGCGCCACTCGCCTTAGCGCTGTTTGCCGCTTGGAAACAGCGTCTTCAGTTCGTAGAGTCCTTTGGCCCTTCCTTCACGGCCCAATGGGCCACCAGAGACACACTTGTTGACGCTGTTTCCGAATGCGACCCCTTTCTTAGCGCAGTGCCTGTCCGTAACGCCGAGCATCCGCTGAGCGCTGCAGCGCTGCAACATAGCGGCACTTCCCCCAGAGCTAGCCGCCATTTTAACACCTCTGGGATTAATTGGTTCAAGTTGAGCTGGTAGCAGAAACAGACCATGCGGACTGGCGTGCATGGTGGGGCTTGCGCCACACAATTAAGGAGGAGTGGAGGATGCAAGGCTGCAAGCCAAGCGGTAGCGCTACGTCTGGATGAAACCTGCTAGTTTACAGACGGCTGCTGCAATTGCAGTGCACAGTGCGGAGTGCATGGCGCCGCATTGCGTTGCATGTGGACACTTGTTAGTCAGGAAACATGACTTCGTAGATTTTTTCACCGTTTTCGACTGTGAGGAGTCCTAAGTTCGACGAGAAATTGATGACACCAGCTAACTTACTTTCTTTTCTTCTGTTTCAGAAACAAGCACTTTTGGTGCGGCAACTGGAGGAGGAACTGAGGTTACGGGCAAGAGGACCATCAGTGGAAATGCACCAGCAAATGGAAATCTTATTTCAAGAGAACGACCATCTCACGAGAGAGCTTTCAATCATGAGAGAAACCGTAAAGGTAATGTCCCAGCGTCAGCACCGTAGATCTAGTGCGCATTACAGTGGCCGAAGAATAAAGAGGTTAACGAGGCGTTTCTTTCCGCTGCGCAGGAACTAGAAATCCGGGTCGAAACTCAAAAACAAACGCTAGCTGCAAGAGACGAGTCCATTAAGAAATTGCTGGAGATGCTACAAAATAAGGGTGTTGGTGAGTTCAGCCTATTATTATGGGCAGCTCTTAACAATTGGCATAAAGGGATTCCTCCTGCTAAGATACGTGTAACTACTACAAGTCAAGGATTATCCATGTGGTAATACAAATAGAATCAAAATAAAAACGTGTCGTTCTATTCAACTCGAAGACGTATTCTAATTTCATAGAAGCGATATAGTTAACGGGCTCTCATCGCTGGATATTGTAGTTGAAGGTATTCCACAGGGGAGACCTTGACTTGTGTGTTTCTTTGTATTGTATATCGGATGTTTCACGGGTGAAATACAAAAGAATATATGCTTCATGATACATGGATTAGCTACCGTATAAAGTATTATAATATCTTAAAAAAATAATGCCAGCATAACGCCGAACTGATATTTATGCACTGTTTGAAGAAAGCTTTGCTTTGATTCCGTATCGTATGAACGTTACAGGAGTGATTGCATATAAACTATAAATATATTAAATGTTTTATTGAACTTAGGCGCTTTTGCTTGGGTGTTGTTGTGATGCATACAGAACCATTCAATTTAACATATCATTGATTCTCTGTGAGGCTTTTATTCAAGTGAAACTTATGTAACATGAAAAGGCTGTGACAAAAATTGAAAGCGAAGGATCACTATTTTTTGAAGAAGTATTATGCGACGTTTGTTAACGATATCATCCGGTATGAACGCGTTTCTTGAATCACGCTATCCTATGTTTGTCTTGAAACGAGGTTCCAGTATGAATGCCCAACATCTCAGTCATTTTTTGATAAGCACTTTCACCCTGTTACGGTTTTTTAAGATATACCGTAAAAAAACTAAATTTAATATAAAACATATCTGTCTTAACATAGCACGTTTCTTGCATGAGAGTTTGTATATGCCAACAGTCCTTCGTCACCTCGTATCTATCCCACAGCTTCCGATTCGTTGAGTGATGTATGTGCCAATTCAAGTTTGTCAAGTGATTTGCATCTCTTGTAAGTTGCGTGAGTGGGAGCTTCGGCGTGTTGAAACATCGAGATTGTCTCGGCAACTTATTTTTCCACCTTAACCAAGTAATTTTTACTTGGCCTTTCTTGCACTGGCCCAGACGTTATGATGCTTGATGTATATCACTACTGTGTTGAAGTTGGTGTGAATGGACGACCATGTGGTTCTGTTCTAGGCAAGGATGAGGAGAGGATCATGTTGCAGCAAATGCAGGCCCTGGCCCAGAAGCAGGTGCTGCTCTCTTTCCGCTCGTTCGCACTTTCCTATACCTTATCCCCTTCCTTAAACGGCTTACCACGATATTCGAGCTGATGACTTTCAAAATCACTTTGCACGCATTTTGTCGTGTCTTTTACCGTCACGATTTTAGTTTTACCGGTTTGTATTTGCCAGCTCTAGTATTGTGATCCGAGCCTCTCCTTTCCTTAGAATGTACTATATATATTCCTTAAACTTGCACAGAAAATGCAGCAAGTTGTGGTGTGACGTTGATATCTATTCCTTTAGTAGTGATTTGTATTTGTTCCTGTATTCGGATCCGTGTCGGTCTGTGTTTCCATGTTGATGTGATGTATTTGCCTTGAGAGCTGTAACATGATTTTGATTGGAAACTCTTTCAACACACCGTTGGAAATAGCTCGTGCAGAAGCCATCTTATACGATTCTGCCTTTATTAGTGGACCTGTCAAAATTTGTTAACTGGCATTACACAATTTTGCGGGGCTATGTACGTTGGATGTAGCGGTACTGTATTATCAATACTTATCTTCAGCTGTGGCTATATTTGCTCGGCGCAAAATTATATTTAGAAGTGAAGTTTGAAAAAATAATTGCTTCATATTAAATTATTCATCGGCCTTTATTGGTGATGCTCCCTTTTGCATCAGCGCTATGACTTTTCCCAGTAGCTTCTGTGGTATTATTAAATACTCTTGGGTACACGCGTTGATGAAAGAACTCACAACTTCCTGAAAAGTGGCCTTCTACTCTTCCGAGGGTTTATAAGTATGACCAGTAGTCCATTCTCCACTGGATACATTGTACACGTGTTTGCTCTTTCAATGACCGCTGGACAAACCACAATAATTCCCCCTCAAAAAAACATCAAAATCTACAGCCGTTACATTTAACAGCATGGCTAATTTTGTCTTAAATTTGAGCATGAACGGTCCGTTAAATACTCTTTGCATTTGAAGACTGCAATCAAATCTTGCGGACCTTTCTGCTGTTTATGTGGGCTTGTTACCTTTCTGTACGATGTGAGAATTCTTTAAGTAAATGTTGCATGAACCGTGCATTGATCAACTATTAGAAATTTCACGCAAAATATTTTCCAGTACTTCACAATTAATCTTACTTTGACACAGTCAGTCACATCCACACGGTTTGGTGTTTATTCGCTTATCTATTAGACTTAAAATACAAACAATCAACTTTAACATTTTTCTACTTCATTCTGACGCCTTATGCACTGTATATTCCCGGAAAAGTTAGATTTGCACGCTTTGCTCGTTTGAAACGGTCCATATAAATGCAGGCGGCCACACTGCAGCCCATGCTTTCTGAGCTCGCATTGACAATTTACCTGTTGGATCAAGTCACCCTACAGGCTACAGGAGCAAATTCTGTCCACGATTATACTGCACCGCAAAATCATATGGGAATCCGTTGCTTTTGCTGAACTCATAATCTAGATTTCAAACGTTTCTTTAATGGCCGCGTGAACGGCCTCACTGGCTGTTCGCCAAGTAATAGGCTCCAACCGTGCTTCGCGTAGATTTGCTTGTTTCGTGAAAACTGCTCCAATACGCGCTTTGCCCACGTGGCAGCATGTGCCACAGTGGGTTCGGGTTTACTCAAACAGATTAAGATGGCAAAGCCACAGGTAAGGTTGCTGGGTTAGTGTGAGGCACTCACTACATCGTTCTACGTAAACAAAACACCTAAAAACGAAAAACACATTAAATGAGCGTAGGTCAATGGAAATGAGGTCGGCCAGGTGGAAGCGGAGTGGCGATTTGGCCAGGTACATTGATTAATTTCGATGTTGATTTCATGAACCGTATTTGCTTGCCTGGTCTCCTCAGCGTAATATCTTTGTATACATTACAGGTGTGGTATCTAGATGTGATCGTGGAGAGACACGTAGTCCACGAAAGAGTAAAAAAATGAATGGTCGTACCTAGATTGTTGTCGATGCTGGCCAGCGCGCGACGGCGCTGCTCAGGTACCGGCCCTTGCAGCGTCCAATAGAGAATTAATTTGCTTTGATGTACATAACAACTAGGCGTGGGAGCAGCCTGCACAAGAGGCTGGTTTGTCTATGGGGGTCAGCGTGTCTGCAGTGTGGAATGCTAAAAGCAGTAGCAGTACAATTTCTCCACAATTAAAAAGAAACAAAACAACCAAACACCAAACCTTAGTGTGCGCATACGTCCACAGCATTTTTACTATATGTTTGACAAAAATACTCTTGTCACACACTGATTGTTGCACGGCGTAGTCTCTTGACGCAAAAAAAGGTTGCCTACAGTCAGATCAGATAGTCACAAACTAGCCCTCAATCTGCAACAATGTTTTCCCATTTTCTTTCGAAGTAATAGAGACACGATAGAAACGTTTTGTTCTCCAAACATTTAGGTTCAAATTATTTGGCTAAGCAGATGGATTGCTACATTCTTCCTACTTTTCTACTTCGAAAATTATTTTTTGTTTTGTTTTTGTTTCATTTTCTGTTTGTTGTGTTTGGAATGTGTTCGTAGGTGGTAAAATGGTAGACGAAGGTGAGGGGGCGTTAGAGGTCCTGCAGGCTCGGCTTCTCGAAAGTGAGTCCATGGCCCGACACTTTGAGAGTCTGGCCCAGGAGCGAGACCACCAGCTCAATCAGGCTAACCGAGTGAGTAGCCGGGGAGTTACGCGAAGCGAGCCAGTATCGCAAAGAATGCTGTGCTCTAGAGCGTGGCAGACTTGGCGAAACCGTGTTGTCTTCGGTCACAAATTTTCGATTCCCATGCACGCATGCCATGGAGTTCAACACGTTAAATTGAATTCAAATAATTTAATAAAAAGGCACTGAAGTGCGAAAGTGAATAATGGTCAAGTTTATTTGACCTGCAGGAATATTGTGCCCTTTTCAAATGGCTAAAGCTTTCTAACCTAGACGATCGGACTCCATGGTTACCGTCTCTTTTAAGACTTAAGCGTTCTTGTACCTTTTCCCTTTTCAAACACTCATTGGAAACGTGTTAACCAGAACACAAAAATAAATCTCCTTTCAAATGGTGCTCAAGTGAACCTGCATTTTTAGGCAAGGGATGAAATTTGAACGTTTAAGTCATAAATTTTACGTGCGTTGCTGGGCAAAATTACTAACCAAGTAGTACGACTGCAAAATTTATTAGTGATCGTAACAAAAGGGACCGTGAAATACAAAAACTCAGTGATTTTGCAGTCTAGCAAACTAACATCCCCTTTCATGTGAGAATTGAGCGGGTGGGTTGGTCTGGCCACTTCCGGGCCTACAACGCTCGTGGATGCCTTTGACTCTGTGCTACAGAGAAGCACGCTGCTTTATTTGAAACCAGGGAGCGGGAAACAGAGCTGCTCCTGTCTGTGCTATGAATCAAACGCCCCGATCAAAATGAGTTTTGTTATGCAAGCACAATCTTCTCATTTCGCATTTCGGATAAAATTAATATTTTAAAATAACGTTTTTGTCAAAAAGATGAAAATTTTTCACCAATATCTACCCTCTACTGCTTGCTCCATTTTGGTCCACATTTCCAATCACAACTGCCAAATTTTGTTCTTTTCTTCGTCATTTTGTGAAGCACTTTATACGATAAACGTTTTGCTGTGCCACTTGTTTTTATTGCTTGTATATGTCACCTCTAAATACTACGCTTATACGTGTAAAGTGTATTTTTATTTTTATTTTTTTATTTTCATTTTGATGGCCTATTTTTGAATATGATTTTCATTATTGGCATGCATTCCTCTATTGCGTTACTCTCTATTGGACCGCCATCTTTGTGGAAAATATTCAGAATAACTACCAGGAGGTATTACTAACTTTAACTTAAACAGACTGCTCGGCGGTAGAGGGTACTATTTCAAGGTTTTTGTTGTAAGTGCAGCGGGCGTAAAATTTTTGTTGAAGTGGGCTTTTGTTGTATGTGCTGTCTTACTTTATAGCTTATAGAAACAAACCTTCTAAAGCACAGACAGGTATTTCGATGGGTTACCAAAAACAACGCATCGAGCAGTTCAAAAGACGTTCAATTTCTTTTCATTCCAACATAAAAAAGTAAATTTCAAAACTAAGATATATTGCGGGTTTTGGGGTATCTACCTGCCCTCCTGGTTTCAGGCCGTCATAAGTTTTTCTCTTAACTTTGGTTGTGGGCCTTATTTCCCACTCAGACAGGCATGTACATTAAATATGACTGTCGTGCTAAACTTTATTTTAATAAGGCTATTTAGTATTTTTAATGTAGATAAAGCATCCACATTTCCATGGGAGGCATTCTAGGCGTTAAGTGTCCCATATTATTACTGGAAGGACTCAAACTGTGGTAGGCTCCATGGGTAGCGACTTCTCAAAGCGGCAAATTCTGTAAAAAAAAAGAAGTCTGCCAGAGAATCTCTTAAGTCGAGACGGTTCGGTAACTTTGGAATTGCAAAGCTTGACTGTGACCGGCGCAGGGCCTTGCCCTGGGCTGGGACTCGCACCCTCCCCACCCCAGCTGCTTTCCATGCGAATCAAACAGTCTCGGCCGAGGTCTCGCACGAGGTGTCGGGTCGCACCCTGGGAGCCAGGCACAGGCTGAGGCAGTCGGGGCCGTGCCTAACCAGCGCTTGTTTGTCACCCTCAGGAGCTAAAAGCTACCAATGAAGCTCTAAGAGCGCTCCAACTGCAGCTAGAGAAGGCATACCACACGCAGCCCAACTCCGCCCCGCCCAACAGTACCCTGACCGCCATCCTGGAGACCAAGGACGCTAGGATAACCACGCTGGAGAAGGAGGTGGCCCTTTTGGAGCAGGAGCTGGACAGGATCCGCGAGCTGGGCGTGCTTGGCCCGGCGCGCGCCGTCCTCCTCGCCTCCCCCACGCTTGACCTCGATTACGCCTCTAACTATCCCAAAGTCGAACTTAACTTTAAGCGACAAGTAAGTGCGTCTCTGTTTTCTGCAACGCCCGGACGCGGCGTCAAGTTGGACGACGCTCAGCGCACCGTGGGGGCGGCCCAGTGGGCCACTCACGGGGCTGTCCTGGGCTGCCCTGGGCTGCCCGTCTAACTCGACGCCGTCTGGACGGACGCACTACCTTCCACCTCACGCTGACCCCTTCCAAATACTGCTGTCGGGCTCATCTAGAATGTCAATGTGGATCCGAAAAACGAAGGGCCCGATTGTCAGTGTGGTCATTCGATCGGGATCGAACCTTCCACCTTGCGTTGGCAATAATGGCTGTTGGTGGGTGGCATGAAATTTGGTGGAGGGATTGTCCTGTGCAAGGTTCTAGGTTCACGTTCCTAGCCGAAAGACTGCTTCAAAAGCTCCCCGTCCTTCCCCGGCTATCGTGTCCTGGACCTGCTATATCCTGCCGTGCTACTAACTGTCCTGCACTTAACTAAGACTGAGAGCTTATCTCTCTTTAGGACTATATTTGTGTTTATGTTTCAACCGTCTATAGACAGAGGGGATGGAGTAAATGCAGTCGGACTTTGCCGATTTAAAAAAAACTGCCGGGAGCCAGAAAAATGACAGTTCTTCTTTCATAACAGTCGTTATCAAACAAAGCAGTGGCAGGGCTCAGCTGCCATTCTAATTTTTTGCCGACTTCCTAAGTTGGTGCCCGGCGGACTGGCTCAATAGCTACTGCTCCCCCCTGTCTCCCTTCTTCTTTGCATCTGTCGCTGAACGGGGCTCCCCCTTGGAGTTCCCAAGCTTTGTCTTTGTGTTGTTCTCCCCCTTCTCTTCATTTTACCACCTACAGGAGTGTCTCGCACTAACACAGCATGGCTAAAACTCCAGCATGCAAACCCTCTAGACGTTGCCTTGGTGACGTACAGGCGTTCGTATTATGTGAGTGTGTACCGAGAAAACCCGAGCCACTACGAAACAAGCGAGATCCATCGTTTTCTTTTCTTTTTCTTATATCTGGGGCAGAGCGCGTTCGGTGTACACTAGCTTTACTCAGCATGGTTTAATTATCGTTTTTCCTCGCATGCTAAAAAGTATCTTTATTTTTCTTGCACGACTGCACAGAAATTCAACGTGTGACACAAACCCGTTGATTAGCTTGGTATCGACCGGTTCCTTCCTGTCTCTGCTTTTCCTCCTTACGCCTCCCGTCTTCCTCTGCGTGCGTAGTGTGTGTCGTCATACCTGTAGTGCTGCATTACAGCATTGTCCTACATAGGTAACGTAGTTCTTAACCCGATCGGATCCTCTTAAGTTCGCTGTAAAGGAGACCCTGTCTGGAACTCGGTTTCTGCAAACCGTATTCATTGACCAGGCTCCGTAATCTGAATTGCTCAGAGAGCACCTTTTAAAAGTAACAAACTTTTAATTGAATATAAACGGCACGTCGGGTGCCGTCTAGCTAGAATCCCGCCGGCCCTCGTGGCCTTCGCGGTCACCGGGACTGACCCTCGGCGTCGTTGCAGCTCGACGACTTCCGGGGGGAGATCCAGCGGCGCGACCAGGAGATACTGGCCATGTCCGCCAAGATGAAGACCCTGGAGGAGCAGCACCAGGACTACCAGCGGCACATCGCCGTGCTCAAGGAGTCCCTCTGCGCCAAGGAGGAGCACTACAACATGCTGCAGGCTGATGTGAGTACGCTGCACCTGTGCCCTGTCGCCACAGGCTGGCCGCGCGGAGCGGCGCGGAGCGCGTGGCCTAGGAAGCGCTGTCTGGCGTCGGGCCGTCTGTGCCCCCCAAGGGCCGTCCGCCCCGGTCCGCCCAGTCGCAGCATTCGCACTGAAATCGATACAGGGCCCGCCGCTCCGCCGTCCGTACTCCACGCTGTCGTCCCTTCGCGCCCTTCACGCCCCCTTCGCGCCCCCCGTCCGCCGCGCCGGCACGCCAGCATCCCTCCCCGTGTTCCAGTTTCACCGTCGCGGTTTCAGAAAAGGCCGCAGGCCAAAAATTGCTTCAAGCGACTATGCGGCCCGCTGCCCGCAACCCTCTCTCGTTCCCCAGTTCCCTTTCTCTGTAAAGCACCGCTGTTTCCTCTTTTCCTATCGAACTAAATTAAGCAATTAAAACAGGCCGCAATCAACCGGATGCTGCTGATTGGGAGGACTCTTGGCTCTGAACCAGGAAGATATAAATTAAAGTGTATTGCCTCCTGCCAGGTGGAGGAGCTGAGGCAGCGCCTCGAGGAGAAGAACCGCCACATCGAGAAGAAGACGTCGGCGGCCATGCAGGCGACGCAGGACCGGAACCGCCTCAACAACGAGATGACGGAACTACGCGACCACATGGACATCAAGGACCGCAAGATCAACGTGCTGCAGAGAAAGGTAGCACTTGTAGAGCCCCGCTGCATGCAGCTTGGGTAGCTTTCAGTGGTGTATGTATAAGTGCCTTGCACTGTGGCCGCAGGAAAAAAAATCTGTTTGGTCGAGCAAAACTCCAGGCACGTTCTGAGTTGCTAGAGGTCTCAAAGAGACTTTGAATGGACCACACGGTGAAGCCAATGTATTTCTCTTTGAATATGGGATCTACCGGCATCATCCCGTCCTGCCAGCGGACGGTATACCGTATACGAATCGTGTCTCGAGTCTTTTTCCGACCTACACAGGTGTCCTGAACCACCGCGCGCCTCGACTTTTGGCGCGGACTGTCCCGACAGGTCGATTTATTCGTCCCGATTTACGTACCAGGCAGAGCTTTGAAACATTTGCAAGTCCATGTTGTCCCGCCAGCCTTATGTTTTCTGATGACAGCCCCTACTTGGTGTGCGTGACCAGTCTCGCCACGTGCTTGCAATGGCATTACGACGTTTTTATTTCATTATTATTTTATTTTTTTCAGCTTTAGCGACCTTGTTGTTTCTGTTGTTTTCTGTTGTTAATTTTTCATTAGGGTCACCAGTTGCGTACTGTGTCTTGTGTATTATTTTGCTGTGATTATTTTGCACCTGATGTGTAGAGAGTTGGAAAACGTAGAATTGCGGTGGCCCCCGACGTTAGTGGCGGCCGCGTCGTAGCGGGGTGGGCCCCGGAAAGGTACGCTGCGTTCTTTTTTTCTTATTTTCACTTTGTTTTTATTTTCATTTATGATTTTGCATGCTGGCTTGCGGCGGCCTCGTTGTGTTGGTCTGGCGTGACGTCTGACCTCGGGCGTCGTGTTGCAGATCGAGAACCTGGAGGACCTGCTCAAGGAGAAGGACAACCAGGTGGACATGGCGCGGGCGCGGCTGTCCGCCATGCAGGCCCACCACTGCTCGTCCGAGGGCGCGCTCTCCTCGCTCGAGGAGGCCATCGGCGACAAGGAGAAGCAGATGAACCAGCTGCGCGAGCAGCGGGACCGCGCCGAGCAGGAGAAGCAGGAAGAGCGGGAGCTGCACGAGCGCGAGATCGCCGAGTACAAGATGAAGCTGCACGCCTTCGAGAGCGAGGTGGAGAAACTGCAGGCACGGCTGGACCGGGCGCAGGTCAGTCGGTGGCTTTGCTGGACAGGAAAAGATCCTGAAAGCATTTTCAGTCAACGTCTTTACGCTGCTAGTAGTTTTCAGATATGAACTCGGCCATGAGAGAAGGGCACACCCTTCTCTCATTGGGGAGTCAAAATGGCGGCCCGCGACCGTGGGGCATCCTTACTACTGCTGTCATTCCATTTTTCCGCAGGTGGAGAAGGACCGGCTGGAGACGCGGCTGGAGTGCTCGCAGTCCGAGCTGGGCAAGTCCAAGGCGGAGCTGGACAAGGCGGCCAGCGAGGTGGGCCGCAGCGGCGCGGACTGGGAGGCGGCCAAGCAGCGCCTGGCGCGCCTCGACATGGAGAACGACCGCCTGCGCCACGAGCTGGAGCGCTCGCAGACCACGTTCGGCCGCAGCACTATGTCCACCAGCGCTGAGCTGGACCGCGCCCAGGAGCGCGCCGACAAGGCCAGCACGGAGCTGCGCCGTGCACAGGTGAGTGCGGTCGAGGTGCGTCTGGGCCTCTGGGCTGACAGTCTGGATTCACGTCTGCATTCGGTTCCAGGCGGAGCTGCGCGTCACGATGGCCGACACGGAGCGGACGCGCGCCGAGGCCGCCTCGCTCCAGGAGAAGCTGGAGAAGTCCCAGGGCGAGGTGTACCGGCTCAAAGCGCGGCTGGAGAACGCGCAGGGCGAGCGGGAGTCGCTGCGTGAGGAGTACGAGCGCATGCAGTCCTCCGTCAGCCGGCTGCACAGCGAGCGGGACAAGAGTGTGGCCGACCTGGAGAAGGCCCGCGAGGAGCTGGAGCGCACGCAGGCCACCCTGGGCAAGGCACAGCTGCAGCAGGAAAAGCTGCAGAACCTGCTCGACAAGTCCCAGACCGAGGTGGACAAGCTGCAGGAGCGCCTGGACAAGACCACGGGGGAGATCCGAAAGGTGAGCAACCAGACAACTTAGGCTTTTACCGAACCAATCTCAATTGATCCTGCTTACATTTTGAGAAATGGTGCCGTGTTGCCGTAGTGTACTAACAGAATGACGCCCCTTGCAGATCCAACTGGAGAAGGAGAAGCAGACGTACGACTTCGAGAACATCGAGTCCCAGCTGGACAAGGCCCTGGGCCAGGCCACGCGCCTGCAGAAGGAGCGTGAGGGCGTGCAGCTCGAGATGGACAGAATGCGGGACAAGTACGACAAGGTCCAGGTGGGTGTACCTCCGGCATACTTGGACTCGGCAACTAACTTCTCAACTGTGGAGTGCTAACATTGTTCTGGTTTGGGGCGCGCAGGGGCTGACCGCGCGGCTGCAGAAGGAGCGGGACGGCTTCCAGGAGGAGGTGGTGAAGCTCCAGGGCCAGCTGGCCAGCCAGGCCAGCAAGGCCCAGCGCGACCGCGAAGCGCTGCTGGCCGAGCTGGACGCCATGAAGGAGCGCCTCGACAAGTCTCAGGTGGTGCGCGACGACGCGCTCGCCGAGCTGGACCTGGTCAAGGACAAGCTGGACAAGGCCCAGCTGCTGGCCACCAAGGCCCTCGAGGAGAAGGACAGCGTCAGCAAGGAGATGGAGCGCCTACTAGAGAAGTACGACCGGTACCAGGGCGAGGTATACCGCGTGCAGAACAAGCTGGACGCCACCGAGGCCGAGAAGGACAGGCTGCAGATGGAGGCGGAGAAGGCCACGCTGCTGGCCGCCAAGTCGCGCGAGGAGTGCCGCAAGCTGCAGGAGGAGCTGGCGCGCGTGCAGGAGGCGTTCGACCGCGCCGCGCTGCAGCTGGGACGCACGCGCGAGAACGAGGACAAGTTCAAGGAGGACATGGACCGCATGTCCGTGGAGCTCGACATGATGCGCGAGCGCTACGAGAAGGCCCAGATCGAGGCACGCCGCATGCAGGCCGAGCGCGAGAAGGTGCAGGGCGACCTGGAGCGCGCCGGCTTCGAGCTGGAGCGGGCGCACGCGCAGACCGCCAAGACGCAGGCCAGCTACGAGAAGGCCCAGGAGGAGGTCGCGCGGCTGCAGGTTGAGGCCGAGAAGCTGCACGATCGCCTGGAGAAGGTGACGGCCGAGGCCCGCAAAGCGCAGTCCGAGCTGGAGCGCTTCCGCGGCGAGGCCGACAACCTCCGCGAGGAGGCCGAGCGCTACGCCCTGCGCGCGCACGGCCACGAGCGCGCCAAGGAGGAGCACGACCGCATCCGCCTGGAGGCCGACATGCTACGCGACCGCCTGGAGAAGGCCGGCCTGGAGCTGGAGCGCGGTCGCAAGGCCGAGCAGGAGGTGCAGCGACTACGCCAGGAGCTGGAGCGCGTCGAGGGCTCGCGGTCCAAGTTCCAGTACGAGCAGGAGCGCTGGACCAGCGAGGCCGACAAGCTCCGCGAGGAGCTCGAGCTGGCGCTGCGCTCGCGGCAGGAGCTCGAGGTCCGCGCGCACGAGCTGGGCCTCGAGGTGGACCGGGCGCGCGCGGACGCCGCCAAGGCCGTGGGCGGCCGCGACAAGTACGAGTCCGAGCTGGAGCGGCTGCACATCGAGTGCGAGAAGGTGCGCGACCGCCACGAGAAGCTGCAGCTCCGCGCCGAGGTCCTGGAGCAGGAGAACGAGCGCATGCACCACGAGCTGGCGCAGATGGAGCGCAGCGTGGCGGACCGCAGCGGTGCCGAGGTGCAGCGCGTCGTGGACCGCCTGGAGAAGGTGCAGCAGGAGAACGAGCGCCTGCGGCTGGAGGCGCAGCAGATGCAGCAGCAGGTACAGCAGCAACTGCAGCAGCAGCAGGCGGCCGCCGCGGCCGAGGTCGCCAAGGCCCAGCAGGAGGTGCAACGCCTACGGCAGGAGCTGACGCAGGCCGAGCGCACGCAGCAGCAAGGCTCGGCGGCCGGCGCCGACCTCTCCAAGGCCAACGCGGAGGTGCAGCGGCTGACGCGCGAGCTGGAGAAGTCCCAGCTGCACCTCGGGAAGTACCAGGAGAACAACGAGGCGGCGCGCATCGAGTTCGAGCGCATGGCCACCGAGCTCGACCGCATGCAGGCCAAGCTGGAGCAGGCCCAGGCCGAGGCCGCGCGCGCCGCGGACCTGGAGCGGGACCGCGAGGTGCTCAAGCAGGAAGTGAACCAGGTCATGAAGGCCATGGAACAGATGCAGGGCGACCAGGTGCGGTCTCGGCAGGAGGGCGACGTGGTGCGCACCCTGCAGCAGGAGCTGGCCAAGGCGGGCGAGGACAAGAAGGCCATGGCCGTCATGATGGACAAGCGCGAGAAGGCAGTGGCGCAGCTGGAGAAGGCGGTGCAGAAGCTGGAGGCCGACACCAAGCAGCTGCAGACGGAGCGAGACCAGCTGGTGCTGCAGCTGGAGAAGTCCCAGGACATGCTTATGAACTTCCAACAGGAGCTGACGGCCAGCGAGGAGGCCCTGGAGCGCGAGCGGCAGGAGGCCAACCGCCTACGGGCCGAGCAGAAGCGGCTGTCGCAGGACACGGAACGCGGCACCAGGGACGTTCTGGAGGCCAGGGACAAGGAGATCCAGCGACTGCAGCAGCGACTCCAGGAGCTCGAGCAGGGCCGCGGACAGCTGGAGCAGGAGCGGGCGCGCGCCGCCAAGGCCGAGAAGGCCGTGGCCGAGCTCACGCGGCAGGTGCAGCAGCTGCAGCAGCAACTGCAGGCGGCGGCGGCGGGCGGCAGCGCCAACGCCAGCGCCAAGGAGGACATCGCGCGCCTGCTGGGCGAGCTGGACAAGGCCCACGCCGACCTCAAGGTCGCCACCACCGAGGCCGACCGCTACAAGGCCCAGCTCGAGATGCTCGTCACCGAGCTGGAGAAGAGCCAGGTCAGTGGCGGGGCCGGGCCTTGGGGCCGGGCGGGGCGCACTGCCACAGCGGATTCGCTTCGTAGAAGACGTCTCTCTGGCAGCATGAGCCACACACGGTTGTCCGGCCGTCGTCCGCACACGCGCGCTTGGGGTTGTCCCCTCAGCACCTTTTATTTTCGTCAACTTTTGTTTCTTTTTGATCTTGTTTATTTCATTAGGCCTTCTCTGAATTAGCAGTATCTTCTGTTTACTGGATGCTATTTTACTTCCTAGTTTCACTCCATCATTTTTAGGGTTGCAGTGTTACTAAGCTGCGGCGTTTTGTTTTCATTTGTACTCCGGTTAATTTTTTTTTCTCATTGTTTTAAGTTCTGCCTGGTACTGTTATTGGTTGCTTTTGTTTATTTTCGTCTTTGCTTTGACCGGGCGCCTCAGAGCCCTTCAAACGTTGCACCGCTTGCATTGACTGATCTTAGTAGTTGTTTTTCTTGGTTTCACCGTCGCTGCATGAGGGATTTTCCCGTAACGATCGGCCTCGCTGTTGCAGCTCGAGCTGCACGAGTCCAAGCAGCGGCTGGCGAGCGGCGCGGCGCGCGGCGGCGAGGAGACGTCCAACCTGAAGAAGCAGCTCGAGGAGCAGAAGAAGCAGCTGGAGGAGCAGCGCCGCCGTCTCGACGAGTTCCGCAAGGGCGCGGACCAGCGGACCCGGCAGCTGGAGGAGCGGGAGCGCGCCCTGGCGGACATGGAGGACAAGCTCAAGAAGCGTCGAGAGAAGATCGACCAGATGGAGCAGGCCATCCAGAAGGTGAGCCGAGCACGTCACTCTAATTCAATGAATGACACTCGTTCGTTTGGAAATGACGTCACATTCGCGTGACGAACTTTTGGTTAAACTCGGCCTTCTCGCTGTCCAGCAGGGCGCGGCGGGGGCGGGCGCGGCGGCGGGTTCAGCCGACCAGCAGCGCAAGGTGCAGGAGCTGCAGCAGCAGCTGCAGGAGCACCAGAAGCAGCTGGCGGCGGCCAAGGAGGAGTCGCAGCGGTCGTCCGTGGAGATGGAGAGACTCCTGCAGCTCGTGCAGATGAGCCAGGAGGAGCAGAACTCCAAGGACAAGCAGATCCACGACCTGCACGAGTGAGTACAGTACACTAGTGATCCTTGTGTTTCACTGGCAGAGTGGTCTTACGTTGTTCGTTCTCTGTCGCCCAGGGCACTGAAAGCAGCCCAAGCCAAGCTGCGCGCGTCAGGCCCCGCGGCTGCGGCCCAGCAGCTCAAGGAAGAGGTACCGTCACGTTGGCAAGCTTGCTCTTTGGCAATGTGTTTCTCTGTTCCTTTGACTAACCGCCCGTTTCTTTCCCACCTGTCCCCTTACCCTGATTTTATTTTATTTCTTCTTCTTGCTTTGTCTAAACGTTCTCTGCCTCCTCTTACTGCTGCTTTGGACCCGCCCAGGCCGGTGGCTTCTTCAAAGGCCTCTTCTAAGTCACTCGTTCGGCGCCCCCGGTGGGCTGCGCCGCGCGGCAGACGCGCTGGCAAAACGAGGGGCTGAAAGGATTGATAAACTGACTTTAAACTATTTATTATTTGAGTGCTTGTGTGGAACGCAGTCGATTCGCTTGATCAAAATGCGCGTGTGCGTGCGTGCGTGATTGCGAGCGTGCAAGTGTAACTCTGCCTACTTTGCATATCGAAGACAATTTGTTAAAGAAAAAATTCTAAACTATGTGTTCAAATGTGTACTTGTTTCCGACAACGCTTATGACTGTAAAGAGTTAAAAATTGCTAATTTTTTGATATGTGTACATAGTTGGAAACAAGTCAGAAATTATTAACCTAGTCTGAATGCTTGTTGTTGTTCTCTTCGTTGTAAACTACCATATATTCTATCTTCCTTTTTTCCCCACTCGACAATTGTTGCGTAGCTCGTCAACTTTTATTTTTTTACTTCCAATTCTATTTTTGTTCGTTGCGTTTTTGTTTTATCCTTGGTTTTCCCCCGTCCCCATCTGAAACCTGTTAGAACGGCACTGCTGTGGGCGGCGAGATCCTAGATGACCTCCTCTCGGCCCTGGAACCCTCGGTGCGAGAGACGCCCGGCCTGCGAGAAGCGCTGGAGAAGGCGCTGGAGAGGCAAGGGGCTGCAGAGGGCAGCGCCTTGTCCACGGAGAAGGTAGGCCCTAGGATTGGCTGCATTGATTTTCGAAAAGGTCTTCGGCAGTTGTGTGACCCATCATCTGTCTGCAGGACGGCGCCGGGGCGGAGCTCTCCGCCGAGGTGGAAAGGCTGCGCAGGCAAACGAAGGCGCAGGACAAGGCGGAGGCCGACTCCAAGGCGGCGCGGCGCGGCCTGGAGGCCGAACTGTCCCAGCTGCGTTGCCACCTGAAGGCCGTGAAGGAGGCCGAGGCCGTGCGGCAGACCACGCTCGAGGCCAAGCTGCAGGACGAGGTGGAGGCCCTGCGGAGCAAGGTGGAGGCCCTCCGCGTCAAGCAGCAGGACAACGAAGAGGCGAGCCGGACTGCGGAGGCCGAGCGCGCGGCCACGCTGCAGGCCGAGATCGAGACCCTGCGGACTAAGGTGCAGGACAACGAGAGAGCCGAGGTCGAGCGAGTGGCCGAGCTGCACGCAGAGATCCAGTCCCTGCAGGAGAAGCTCAAGGCCAGCGTCGAGGCCAAGGCCAAACTGGAGGCCGAGATCGCGGCACTGCAGGAACACAGGCCTGCGGCCGAGGCCACCGCCACCGGGACGCAGCAGGCGGAGGCTGTGGACCCACAATCGATAAGGGAGGCCGACCAGGCGGCACAGGGGGCCGAGGTCTCTGACCTGCGGGACAGGCTGGAGGAGGCCGAGGCCGGGAAGGCGGCGCTGCAGACAGAGGTGGCGGCGCTGGAGCGCGCGCTGCGGTGCAGCACGGACAGGGAGGCGGCCGAGCTGGAGGAGCTGGCCTCGGCGCTGACGCTGCGCGACGAGCGCATCGAGGAGCTGCAGGAGGCCCTGCGCGAGAGCGTGCGAATAACAGCGCACGAGGAGACGCGCCGCAAGCAAATCATGGGCACCGTGGCCAAGCTGGAGCAGCGGCTGCTGTCGCTGCAGACGGCCTACGCCATCCGCTGCCCGACGTGCAGGCCGCTGCTGCAGCGCGTGCAGGACCTGGAGCGCCAGGCCGCCGAGTGGCGGCGCCACCTCGCCGACCTCAGCCACATGAAGCAGGAGGCCCTGGAGGCCGCCGTCTCGGAGAAGGACGCGCACCTCGCGCTGCTCGAGGTCTCCGGCATCCGCACCGCCAAGCAGGCCGAGGAGGCCGACAAGCTGCGCGCCGACCGGCGCCGCCTCGTGGAAAGACTGAAACTAGTTGTAAGTCCGGACAGTCAAGTTCGAAAAGAGCTAAGTCGCGGGGCCCGGTGTGGTGGTTGAATCCACGGATTCTGTGTTGCAGAACGAGGAGAGCGTCAAGCTGTACCTGGAGCCGTCGGACCCCGGCCGCAACGGCTCGGTGGGCGACGTGCTGTCGCGGACCTCGGCGCTGTCCCTGGAGGTCCCCATGGAGGCGGAGCGAGACACGGACCCGCCGCCCCCCACGCCCGCCGTCAACGGCTGCGCCAAGAACAACGGACACGTGAGTAAACGGCACCCGATTTTGCAATCGGCGCTCGACTCTCTTCTAAGACAGCAACGTTGTGACGCAGATGTCGCCGGACAGCACGGAGTCCGTGGACACCACGTCGTCGCCGTCCTCGCCGGGATGAAGCCTTCAGGCAGTGCCATACTGCGGGGAGTCGTGCTGTGACCGACTCGTCATGTTTTAATTGTTTACTTTAGTTCAAGAGTTGACCAATCTGCTAGCACCGTTTTAGTTGTTACCTTGGTTCGTATCAGAGGACGTAGCGCGGCGCCGTCTGGTCGTACCGTCTGCCCGCAGGCTGCCAAAAAATTAATTATTGTTACTAATGAGTTCACCACTGTGTCAGTTAGTCGTGGAGGTTTGCATTTATATTACAACATATGTTTTGAATCAAAACGCACATTGTAATATTTTCAAGGCAAATTTTTGTACATAATACTACGTGAGTTAAATGATGTAAGTTTTGTTATTTTTGCGAGTCGCAACGAGGCGGTGCCGCCCGGGCCGCCATTCAAGTCTTTACTCGGTAGCATCGCCGCCATGTTTGTTGATATTTTGTAGGGTGATAACGCAATACTCTTGTGCCACGCGGTTTCGTCGCCGTGCACAGAAACTGACATAAAGAAAGAGGAAAAACACTGGTCGCCACTGTGTTTTCCTTACACTGTACAAAAAAACGCTGACTGGCTAGATGAAGTGCACGGAGGACGAGTGGCGTGCACTGTGGAGGAATCGGCCAGCTTGACAATAAGCGACACGTCTTCCTCCAACTGACAAACCGTGTTGTTGTTGTTATTGATGTTGTTATTTTTGTTTCGCTTCGGTAGGGAAACCGATGAGACTTTTTACGAAAATTGTGCGTCCCTTCGCGCCTTGTGCCCTGTCCGTGCCAGACTGCCAGACTGTGCGTGTAGAGTGTAGGCCTAGTCCCTATGTTCGAGCGTCGGCCGTCGGCACAATTGCAGGATAACTCTTTTCATTGAAGGCGAGAGCCTTAGTTGTTAAAACTTTGGTGGTGTGCAAGAAATAAAAGGATATGGGGGAGGCGAACAAGGAGCTGTAGTGTTAGCCCACAATAAGTACTGGCACCACTGGAAACGTAACTAGATGTGTGGAATATTTGTTTTGCTCGAGAGTCACGCTAAAAGTAATGTACCCTGCGTTTTCAAGCCTTATGAGCGAAGACGAGTTAATGTGTAAACCAATTGTTGATTTTAGGTGCAAGCCACATTCCTCATTCCGCTAGACTAGAACAAAATAAAAGTGTTAGATATAACGTCAATTTCTAAGTATTACAATTCTTCTTCATCACGGACCTGATTTTGTGCGCGGGTGTTTTTTGCGTGCTTGTGAGTTAACGGGGATTTGTTTTTTCATAATTGGTGGGGCGGGGCGGGATGAAATAGCGAGGAGGGGTTGTATTTAGATTGAAATTAAACGTTTTGGGTGTATATATGCGAGTAAGTGTAGAGGCGACGAATTGATTAGAACATTCAACTTACGTAAATTGGAGGGGCTTCGTCTGAAAACGGGCACCTGAGCACTGGGTCGTCGCACTGCGCATTAATGGTTTACTACGGTAGTCATAAGGCATGTGCGCTTGTGTTGCCACTTTATCAGCAGTTCAAGAGGCGGGGTTTAGACCCGCAGGAGCTACGTACAACTAAATAATGTTAACGATGTGTACAGACTTAGTATTTATTGTTGTTAAACGTTTGTTTTGAAACATATCTGGTTCTGTTGTGAAAACGCGACGCCCATGACATCACCAACTCGTAGCCACCAGGTGGCAGGCATTAGTGGCATGTTGTATGTTGCGACTTTCTGTCTGCTTACTGTGAATAGTTATACTGACGAATTATATTTTAAACACATATGTTTAAGGTATCAGAACAATAATATTAGATGTCGTTCCCCTCGCAAAATCGTTTGAAATTTGTGGCCTGATGTACAGTATTTTCGTAGGTTCGTCCGACCTGTTCCATGCCACACTTCAATGTGCCCGAAAAAATATTGATCAGACGACTTGAGAAGTGTTTCATGGAATGGCTCTTTCCTTTACGAGTATCTCAAAACCGAATCAAAAGTAATGAAAGTCTGTTTTCTGTGACGCTGCGTAAATGCGTCCATTTGGGGTGATTCGGGGAAGACATTCTTTTGTCCCGGACCACTCAAAGACGACGCGGTCGGACTCATTCATACATGCCCTTAATTATAATACTCTTTGCCGTTGCTCCCCGCTCTCTGCAAGCGCTGAAATTTTCTCTCTCTGCAGTTTGTAAGTCGTTCATACGTTCCCGCGGAACATAGAATACGCTTTTCTTACCTCGAGTCTAATTCTACCCCCTAGCGTTTCCTCTTTCAATCACTATTTCCGCGAATGCCTCAAGTAGACTCGTCTCGAAAGCTTGTTGTTAGGATATAACTGTGACTCAGTGACTGTCAGTACAAATTCTTGGAAAGGGATCCGCTAGTTGAGTGCAACAAAAGCACAACCCTTGACGCATTTTTAATACTCTTTCATGCTTTTAACTACAGTATGAAATTTCACTCCCACCTCATTGGTCAAGTAAATCGTAAACTTGTTTTAACCAGTTTGCACCGAGATATGCCAGCGTCAAAAAATGTTTAAAATACCAAACACTTGAAAGGGTTGTAAATTGGTCCCTTATCTGGTTGCACAACGTGCACCGCGCATTTTAATGAATTTCGATTTGTGGCCTTTTACCAATGTTGTAATCGAGTGGTTTTTAAATTGAGCAGGGCGGTCTTAAGTCTCCCAATTGGCACCCACATGTTACATATCTTGCGATTGTCCTTTTTTTTCTGTGATATGCATCAGAGCCGCTACGTTGGTAGTGTCTAATAATATTTTCGTCTGTTGTGTAATATCATTTCGGACGCGTTGTTGCAGCAGGGAATTATGTAGCTTCGTTTTCCTTTCGTGGTCTTACAAACAACACAATACAATAGACCTAGAAGTATTTAGCAATGCTTGTATTCTGTGGTTGATGATGTACAGTAAGTGCGGAATCTGTTTTTGTTCTGTTGTTTTATCCTGATTTGTGCCGAGGTGTTTCCGAAAGAATGTGTATTGACCAATAACGATGGCATGAAATTATACTATAGTGCAACAAAATATGAGAAAATGATGTTGTGAAATCGTCTGATACCATTAAAGAACATGTTGTTGAATGTGATTTTTGGATTTTTACATTGCCGGCCCTCGTACCTTACATGCATGGAAACAAAACGCCATTCACAATTTTTGCGACCATTTTATTATCTTCACACTTAACAAATAGCTAAAATAACATCACCATGTCACAAAATCGGTTGTCAACTCCCCTACTTGAGTCCACACACTTACGCAACGCACTCATGAGAGCGGCAAAAATTTCTTCGTGCTACTTACGTTGGCCCTCATTCATTCTACTCAGACGAGCGCGTATCGAATGTTCACTTGCCCCATCCTCCGTTGCCACCGAATCCACCGAATCCTCCGTTGCCGCCATAGCCACCGTAACCACCGTTATTGCCATAGCCACCGTATCCACCGTAACCTTCACGACCGCCACGGCCGCCGTAGCCTCCGTAGCCTCCGTAGCCTCCATAGCCTCCGCGGCCCTCACGGCCTCCGCCGTAGCCACCGTAGCCGCCGTAGCCGCCGTTACCTCCGTAGCCCCCGTAGCCCCCGTTGCCGCCATAGCCGCCGTAGCCGCCGCCCCACTGCTCGGATGCGCCCAGGAGCTCGTCGGCGGACTCGGACTTGACGGGGGCCGTGGCGCGGCCTGGCGGTGCCTGCTGCTGAGGCTTGTCGGCGTCCTGGGACGGCGCCGCGCTGGCCAGCGCCACCGCGGCCACCAACGCGAAGGCCGTGAGCGTCACCCGCGCCTAGGAAAATGCGACCGACATCAGCGAACACATCCCAAAATGGTGGTTAAACGGCGTGGGTCGGCATCGACTCAACTCACCATGCTAGAGTCTCGGTTGGAAGATGGTACCTCTGCGTCTCCAGTCCCCAGGTCGAGTGTAGGCCTAGCCGCCGTGGCCCGCCCATATATACCCTCCGGCTGGGGCGTTCGCTTTCAGAACAACACGTCCCATCTTAGCAATGACGCCGCCCGCCGCCGCCGACGGACGGGCAGTCTGGAGGCCGAACAGCGCTTTCGTCGCCTGTCTCACTCGCACTCACGGGGCCATTCCTGGGCGTGCGAGAGAGACAGAGCGCCGCCAGGCCATTCCGCGAGGTGGTCACGCGTCGACAGTCTTAGCTCGACGCACGTCTCCCGCAAAAGCAATAACAATTTGGGCGGCGCGCGCTTCGCGGAACGCCTGCGCCGAAAAGCTCCGCGTCGAGGGGTATTGACGTCACCGCCGCCGGAGTCTCCCCGGCCCTGGCGGACGACCTGAAAATGAAATTGCGCTAATGAAGGACTTCCGAGGCCACGGCTGTGGAACCTTCTTCATTCCGCCGGAAATACGACTATTTTTCGGACGACAAGCCTCGGCAATACTCCGCGTCCGCGGGTCGCGGCGTGGCGACACGGCGATACCCCTGGCCGGCGCGCGGCGCGCGGGGTATCTGCGGTGCAGGCGCAGCCGGGCCGCGGGGAAGTTCACCGCCGAGACATTTTGTGTGTCGGCTTCGGCGGCTTCGGCCCCTGGCGTGTCCTGTCCGGTCCTGTCCGGCTGAAATGGATGGCACGGCCCGGCGCACCGTCGGCCAGCCCAGCCCTCTTCGCTTCGCTGCCCCGGGGACTCGGGTCGACTTTTGGGGGCTTCGGCGACTCAGCCAGCGCAGAGGCAGGCAGCACCGCTGCAAAGTAATTTGTTGCGTTTGGTCGCACTGCCAGGCCACCTGTAGCGAGCGGCCCTTCCTCGCCGTCCTGGCCGTCCTGGTCGATCGGGGGCGTCCCCCCGCCTGCTCGGCCTGCAGGAGCCGGCCGCCAAGACACGGCCCGGCTGGACTCGGGCGCGGCGCTGCTCGGCTCGGCTCTGTCCGGGGCAGTGGCAGGCAGCACGCCACTGGCGGGGCCACTGGCGGGGCGGGCCGCCTTACCGTGCCGCCTCGCCTCGCCGCCGCGACCGGCACAACAGTTGGCTCTGGCGCGCGGCAGCGGCACGTCGCGGAACACGCAGCTCGCAACGCACCGCCGCGCCCCACCGCGCTTCCCGCCAAAACGCTGTCACGCCGAGGGTGACGCCGCGTGACACGCAGTCACGCGCAGTGACGCGACGGGACGCGCAGTGACAAGCAGTGACACAGTGACACGGACCGCGCCGGGGAATGACCGCCGGCCCCTCTGAGTGGCGGACACGTCGCCGAGCGCTATAGTACGTGTCTTGTCGTCGGTGACGGTGCGTCACTTCGAGACCGTCGTGACGCAGATCCCCGTGTGGGGCTGCGGTTGCCGGCAGTTGCCCGCCAGCGGTGTCCATCCGACACTCGCGGTGTGCAATCGTGGGTGCTTCCCAGACATCCCGGTCCCCGTCACGGCGTCGCGGCCACCGCGAGGCCAGTCGTGACGAGTAGGCGGCGGCCTCCTCCAGGCCCGTGGCCAGGCCGGCCAGCCCCCACACCTGCGCCGCACCACGCACGGCGAGCCCAAAGGCTCTCCAACAACACGGCGCGTGCCCCGGATAATATTTTGCCAAGCCCTCGCCGCGGTCGGCGGTGCTGCCGGTGCTCGCACTGCCTGCTGTGCGCCTGCCGGCCGGGACGCTAATCTAGAAGGCGTTTTGCGCCGCGGTGCGCCCGCACTGTGCGCCTGTATCTCTGGAGCCGCATCGCGCTGGAAGAGGGAACCGCACAGCTGGGTGGCTCCGAACGGCGTCTCACTCCATCTCACTCGCACTTGTGGGGCGTCCCGCAGGAGGGTGCGAGGGTTTGGAACCAGCCCGCAAGGCCTGCGGGATAACACGCCGAGCCCCCACACTGGATAAAGGGCGCCCCGTGGGACCGGGCGCGCAGGTGGCATGTCGCCCCGCGTCGCCCCGTCCCGGGGCGGCGGGCTCCGCCGTGGCTTCGCGCTGCGCGTTCCTCCCAAACAGTTTATCAGCGCGTTGCGTTTCCGTGCGGCGGCCAAGGAGGTCCTTGGGGGCCACCGCGGTCACCGCCACCATCGCACGCCGAATCTAGAGGCGGGGACAGCGTGCCTGGCGCGCGGGCCTGTCGCCACCCGCGGCCCTGCGCCTAGCTCGCGTGCGGTCCGCTGCTCGCCAGCAGAAGGTCACACCCTCGACGCTCCGCCCCGAAGACCTCCCCGACCAACGGGGGTTAACTAGCGTGGGGCAGTGTTGCGGTCTCGAGGCCGTCTCTGCCTCAGCCGGGCTCAGCTTGTGGGGTGCAGTGGCAGATAATGGCACGGTGTGGTCGCCGGCGTGTCGCGACACTGGAAAAAAAACGCCGTCGAAAATTCAAATTGTCAAAAACAAAGAAAGCAGAGATTAAAATGCCCTTCAGTTGTGTTCAATTTGTGTTTCAATACGGGCGCACAACAGCCCACGTCAACAATATTTCCCTTTGAACCCTTTCGCTTTGTGGTTGCTTGCTTGTTTGATACACGGCAAAAATTCTGTCCCCTCACACGAATCAGTCGACTCTTTTTAGCACATGATATTTTTTTCTCTCTTTCTGGCCTTGTCGAGTTTATCCACCTGTCGAGGGCAATGATGAGCTCTCATCCGCACCGGGGACCTCGCGCGACTGGTCAGAATGCGGGGCTTGGCTCAAAGCGTGCGTGCCCTCCAGCCCCACCTCGCCCCGCCCCGCCCCGCCCCGCCCCGGCCTGGCAAAGCTTCATCAACAGCACGTCCACCGCTCTGTGCCCAAGAACGACTTTGTAGGTCCCATCCCAGCCTGCCGCCCGCTTTACATTTTCATATTGATTTTATCGGTCCGCGCTCCAACTGCAAAGCCCGACGCATCCCTCACGCACCCGCCGTCCCACTCCACTGTCAGGGACTTTCGAAAGTCATTTATCAGGGGCGGGGAATCGATGGGAAAAAGCGTGGAGTTGGAATGTGGAAAAGTGTTCCTTTGGCCACAGAATGCGGGCGACCTCGACATGCAAAGAAATGAACAGAACTTTTTCTGCAGTGTAGGGCAGCGCGTTCGAAAGATAACGTTGAAGAAAAAGTCGGGACGGAAATTTAGTTAAGGTTTGTTGAAGGATTGTCTTGGGATTCCTTTGGCCTTATGCTGCCTTGGTCGGCGGCCTCCTCGCGCGTATGGCTGCCAAATCAGAGGAGGGACCGAAGGGCAGGGGCGGGGTGGCCTGGCGTGCCGAGGGTGGGGTGGGGCGGGGCGGGGCGGGGCGGGCGGAGGGCGTGGTGAGGGTGGGGCGGGCTGCCACCTTACCTGATGCTAATCGGCCGAGGCTCAATTATCGTCAGTTAAAAGGGGGTTTGCCAGAGGAAAAACAACGAGGCTGCGTGCGAACCGCCCTCCCCGTGTCCTTGTGGTGTAGGCCCGTCCGCCTGTCCATCCGTCCATCCGCCCGTCTTGGCAGTGTCTTGGCAGGCGCCGAGGGGGAAGGCTTTACGATTGCAGACCGTTCGATGCGGCGCGCTCATTACCGCTGGCAGTGCTTTGTCTCGCTCCGCGTTGCCCAGTGTAGGCGAAGGAAAAACAAAAACAAAAATCCACTTCTGAATCGCCTCGAGTACCCTTCTGGAAAAGCGATGCCAGGGTGCGCTGGAATGGAAGAAGAAGTGTGAGAGCGCGCTGCGTGCGTTTCGTCCTGAGCCAGTTCGGCAGGGCCTAGCGGCCTCGCGCCAGTGGAGCGCGGGGCAGGCCGCCCGCCCCACTGCCCTACTCAACGGGACTGCCTACCGCGCCTGCTCCGGCGCGAGGCCCTGCGGGGCCTAATCCAAGCCACCGCCTCCTCGAGGCGCGCCAGGGCCCCGCCAGGGCCCCGCCGGGGCCGCTCCCCGCCCTAATCACTTTATTTCGGTGTGTCAGGGAGTGGGGCAGAGTCGGACGGGTCATGTGATTACAGAGAGGAAATAGGCCGCCAGACCCCGGGTGGAAGGATCTGCAGTTAAAACTATATGACAAAACAGGAGTTTTTCTGTTGTAAAATGTATTGTTTTAAGTGAAACAAAAATTAAAAAATAAAGAAGTTAAAAGTAACTTTTAAGAGAAAAAAAATTGTAGTTAAACTATAGTCAACTGCAGTAAAACTGCAGTTTAACTATGCAAAAACTACCAGTTATTTGGAACAACTATAGTTTCTCCCTCATTTTCGTGCTAGTTAAACTGCAGTCAAACTGCAGTTCAACCTTAGTTTCGAACAACTTAAAAGCCATTTGAAATAACTAGAAAGAGAGTAGTTGGGGTTCAGTTTCCGAAAAGAGAGTGAAAATTCAAAATAGAGCCTCAGCCCCGTTATCATATAGCCACCTTAGGTGATTTCAACCTTAGGTGTTGGTGAGTGGAGTCACCTCCTCTCGGAGTTGATCACTCGGTAAAAATATACTTCGCATCGAGGACTGATGCACTTGGAGGCACAGCGATCGGAGCCTAACCAAACTACGACCCGTAGCCGTACGCGAGAGGAAAGTTGTACTCAAAGTTATTTCCCTAATATTCCACCTATCGAGGTCAATCCTTTTGTGGTAGAGTCGTAGCATCTCAAATATTTGCCCTGCACAGAGTTTGATCCAAAAATATTCCTCTGATCGGCTGCAAGAACACTTTTAACTCGAAGACGTAAATGATGCGACACTAGCGCCACCTAGCGGATGATGCACTAAGTGTCCATTTTTGCGGTAGTCAATATGCTTTGCTCCAACTTCACTCAACGAAAGTGTTATTTAATACTACTAGCATGTAATATTATGTTTATTTTAAAAGGAAGGGTATATGAAGGACTTAACAGAATTACTTTGATTTGGATTTAATAAAAAAAAATCAAAACTAAGAATTTTTCTACATCTTTTAAACTACAAGCAATTTTAGAGTAATCCTATGTAAAGTTGTAGTCCTCTTCATGACAAACTTGCATTTTATGACCAATTTTAATTTTAAACTGTCAGTATAAAAAATGTAAGCGCAAAATATTTTGGACCTTTGCGACAAGTCTGTTTACGTAAACTTGTCGCAGACTTAAGGTTACTTTGTCTCTTTAGGGAGGCTAACTTTAAAAAAGGGGAAGCTTGCATAAATTTTTAAACAGCGAACAACTATACCATTTAAAGTAAAGCCAACTGTATTAGCTATAAACCTTAAACGTTTGCTCTTAACCTGATACTTTTTTTAAAGGGAGACGACAAAAAATTCAACGTAAACCTCAACTGCTTTAAAAGCAATGAAGCAGCCACTGTAATTTTGAGTTCCCCTTGTGGTATGTAACTTTTACTTGATACAACTAGAAGATTGCATAAGAAGTATGGAAACGTACTAGTTTTGAGACATAACTATCAACGTTAGTATGTCGATAAGAGAATATGTTTAGAATACATACTAAGTACGGAAACATACTAGATGAGAGACAGTTTTTGAATATTTATTTTCAGCAGTCGCTTTACTTCCAGAAATGGATATTAAGTAAATTGTAACTGAAACTTAAACTGAACCTCCAACTGAACTTCAAATCAACACTAAAACTACATTGTGAACTGACAGAAAACTACAATTTCAACTGCAAAGTGGAATTGTATTTAATCTTCAGTTTCTTTTTAAAACTAACTTTAGTTCGGGAACTGCAGTTTTGGTACTGTAGTTGAAACTACAGTTTAACGAAAGATCCTTCCACCCGGGACACACCTATCCCACCCGGGTGCCCGCGGGCCGCGGAGCGGATCGAGGCTCGGCACCCCTGCAGACTGACTCCGAGAGTCGTTGGCGTCGGTCTGTCTCCCCCGCTCCACACACGGAGCGCCGCCAGTGAGCGCGAGGAGAAACAGCGCGGCGGAAACGACTCTCGGAGTCGGCCTGCTGCGCGTCGTTAGCGGCGCTCGTCGGGTCGATGAAGTCCGTGCGATGGCACCGTGACTCGCACTTCTTGACGGCGAGCCGCCGCGTGAAGCGCACTGCGGGCAGTTGTTGTTGGTGGTGGTGGCGGTGCAAGTGCCGCGAACAAACTCAAAGCACCACTCCGCAGGGCCAGAGCGTTTGACAACGTTTTGAGGACACGGGACTACCAACCTGCTGGGGGCCGCGTCATGCAAACCCAGTCCGCAACGTCCAGTGCGTGTTGCAGATGCTGGCGCGTGCCGTCCGCCGCCGCCCCCTGCCGCGGCCCGCGGGGGACCTTCGGCACCGCGTCGGCCGCAGCGAGGGCCCCGACGGCCATGGCCCCGGCATGTGACGCGTGGGCGTGCGGGCCGTCCTGGAGCCATGAGGGCGCCATGAGCAGGCCATGAGTCACCGTGCCGAGGAGGAGCAGCTGTACCGCCAGTCGCGGGAGGTCCAGTTCATCCGCGCCGCCAGCGCCCGCTCGCCCACCGCGCCGCACCCCGCCACCTCGCCCGCGGGCGCCGGGCCGTCCGCGCTCCGGTCCCGGGGCTCCGTCAGCTCGGCCCCCGCCGGCGGAGGGGGCGAGGACCTCCTGCTGAGCGTGCTCCAGTACCCGGTGACCGCGTCCGCGGGCGGGGGTACGGGCTACCAGCACCGCGTCGTCACCACCCGCTCGCCCGGCGCGCCGCCGCCGTACTACCCATCGCCGGTGCCGTCACACAGGTGAGCAGAGGATGGCGGGAAACTAAGGCAGATCAAAGATGAAAAGTTTTGTGTCAAGTTTTAAGCAAGGAAAACCTAACCTAAGGTAGTGAAAAAAACTTAAGGGAGGGGGACTTTAATTCAGGTGGATTTTTTTGAAAAGGTAACATAACCTCTCTTGACCCTGAGCTTCCTCCAACCAACAGAGACTACGGCAATGGTGATGAGTGCGGGGGTTCCAATCCCCTGGCCACCCTGCCCCCCGCCTCCCTGGCCCTCGGCCACTGCTCCGACACGGACGACACGGAGGGCGGCAACAACTCGGACCCGGAGCACCCCAACAACCGCTTCTCGCTGCAAAACTTTGGCGCGGCAATGGTAAGTGTCTGGAGGCAGTTTTATCACTCTGCACGCACCAGCGAGGGGGTTTGAATTTTTTATGAACTGTCGCGGCGGTCCGTTCACGAGGCAAAACAGTTTTTGACCGGGAATAGTTTCATGCCACTTTTTTTTGCAAGTTCTCTATCGAATACATAAACAAAACTTGAAGCCGAGAAAGACCGTGAATAATGGCAACCGCATTGCCCAGTTTTCGAGCGACGTTCTTCAGTACACACGCGCACCCACACAGTCCAATTACCTTTGAGTTTCAGCCACATTTGCCAGATGAAACAACACACGACTAGCTAAGCGAAAATAATTAAAATCAATCATCAAATGAAAGTGAAAAATAATGATCCGTCGTCCGTCATAAAATTCCGGGGGGCGCCGTGCGCGCATTGCGGCTGTTTTAAAAGCCAGACGGCGACCCCGCGGCCCTGTGGGAAATTATCCTGGATGGCGCGGCGGCGATGGGGCGGGCAGATGGACGGACGGACAGACAGACAGACAGACAGACAGACAGACAGACAGACAGACAGACAGACAGACAGACAGACAGACAGACAGACAGACAGACGGACGGACGGACGGATGGAAAGACAGCCGGGAGGGTTCGGTCGGTGGCTCCGTTAATTTCTTCCGCACAATCGCCCCCTGTTCATTTCGATTGTCTCGTTCCTGTGCGAGGGAGAGGGAGGGAGGTGCCGGGGCGCCGCCAGCCGTCGTGATGGAGGGTGGCCCCCTGCCCCCGGCCTGCCCGCGCCCCCTGACCTACTCACGGTCGGAACACCAGCCACGGGGAATGCCCGCCATTACTTTGGGTACATCCAGAACAAAGGCGAGGATGAGAGTCGAGGCCCGCGCCTGGCCGGGCCGGGCCGGGCCCGCCGCGACGAGGCGGCAACGCAGACGCGAGAATCGATAGCCGGAAAAAAAGCCAGGGCCCTTGTGAGTTTCGCGCCTGCGAAGGCGAAGGCAGGCCGTCCCGTTGAGCATCCGTGTGCAGCGCGTTGCCTACACGCAGGCGTTCCGCGCCTGCGGAGGTGAAGGCAGGCCGTCCCGTTGAACATCCGTGTGCGCAGGGTTGCCTACCCCGCTGTCTGCAGGCGTTCTACGTCCCCGGCCTGCTGGGCTGCCGCGTCCGGCGCGTTGCCTACCACATGCCTGGCAGGCGTCCTCTGAAACGGACGGGCTGTGCTTCCAGCAGCGACGCGGCGTGCTTGCCGTGTTTTCGCGCACGGTTTTCATCCACTGCGCGCCGAATCAGCCTCCTTGTTGCCTCGATCTCTCTCTCCTTCTTTCTTTCTTTCCTTTCTTTTATTCGCGATACTGTTTTTATTCTCGTCTGCGAATGAGTCTAGCCACCACCGCCAAGGAGGGTGAGCTGCTCTTTCGCTGGTCTCTGCCGCACTCTGCCTTGCCTGGTGTTCGCCGGGGCAGCGTTTTCAATGCGCGGATGGACGTGGCGGGGCGGGGCGGGGGGCGGGGCGGGGCGGGGCGGGGGGGGGGGGTCGCCCGTCTGTTTCAGACGGTTTGCTCTAATTCGCTGGGCAGGCAAAAGCTCTGGCGGCATTTGGCATTTTGCGAGCAAATCTGATAAAAAGCCTCCATGGCGCCTCCATGGCGCCTCGCACCCCGGCAGCGGCCCGCCCCGCCGTCCGATTCCGCCTCTCTCTCTGCCTCCCTTCCGCCCTCACAACGCCCCGCGGGCGCGAGAGAGACAGGGCCTGCCACGCCTCAAATAATCAGCGGCTCAAAGCTGTGCTGCCAAGGCGGCCATCATCTGATAAGCAGGCCGGCCGGCTAGGCGGCAGCGCTCAATCAATGTTCCGGTGGCGCTTTGGCCGCGCTTTGGCAGTGGCGTGGTGGGGCGGCGGCCCCAGCCGTCGGCGAGCCCGGCAAGCCCCCCGGGCCTCGGCCACTTGGCTGCCGAGCGACTGTCAATGCGGGGAATCCGGAGGACTTGCACGCAGCCTCCGCGGCTCCACGCACGCCCATTCACGGCAGGCCCTTGGCGGCCAGCCACCGCCTCGTCTCTTTGGTCACGAGTGCCGCTGGGACCCGCGGACTGCACCGAGCCCCCCACTACGGCAGGGAATCGACTTCGCGGCCCCTCGACCGTGGTCGCACTGCCACTCCTTTACCAGGAATCGGACACTATTTCGACCGCACAAACCCGCCGCCTTCCTGACAGCCACCGTGATTCCCTCCAAAGGGGCCCGACGGGGCTGGGCGCGGCCTTCAAGTAATGAGGCGAGAAGTTGAGGAAAACGCGCGCACCGGCGATGCCAACAAGCGATAGTGCGGGAGGCGCGGGGCGAGGCGCGGGGCGTGCGTCGGTGCCACACTCCTTCCCCGAAGGCTCCTCCGACTCCGAGAGGCCCTCTCGACGAACGGCATTATTTTTCTTCGCCGCGGGACGTCCGGCAAGTCAGATCCGAAGGGCCGAGGGGCGCGGCCCGGCGTGGCCGAACCCGCGACCCTTTCCCTCACCCTTCAGGCGCCCTTAGGCCTCCCGGTACCAGGCCTGGCTTGCTTCCAGACCGTCCAGACCCGCTTCCTAGCCACTGCACCATTGTCTCCGCCGGCGTCATCACCTGCACGTCGTCGTCAAGGTCCCCGCCGTGACTTGGCGGCCAACCGCGTCCCGCCCGCCAGCTTGTCTGCCCCAGACCTCGGTGAGGCCTTCGGTCACCTCCTCGAAGTGGATTCCAACCCCTGGAGAGCGGCCGTGAGGCCGGCGCAGCTCTGCACGGCCGCTGCCGCTCACCGCCTGTTTTGTATTGACCGGAGGCACCACACTGCGCGGCTCTGCGCGGCTCTGCGCGGCACTGCGCCGGGCTACCTCGCGGTTCACGCTCCGCGCTCTGTGACGGCCCCCGCCCCTCTTCCAGCCCTTCCGGCAGACGGTCCCCTGTCGCCTATCACTCACCCCTCGCTGCCCACCGGCCGGGCCCTCGGCCGGGCCTGGCTGGTGCCCTTAGTGCCCCGTGGACTGGCCGTGCCGTAGGCTGGCCGTGGGCCTTACACACAAGCCCTGGCGCGCCCCGCCGAGCCCCGCCGAGCCCTGCAGGGCCCATTATCAGGAAATCACCCTCCACGCGCCGTTTTCCGGTCGACCGCACACCTTCACACACACGCACGCACACACACACACACGCACACACGCACACACATATACATACGCGCCGCGAAATTGACACACCTGCAGCGTCACACGGACAGCCCCAGCCCGCTGGCCCCCTTCGCCTCTCTCTCTCTCTCTCTCTCTCACCCACACACGTGCGCACACTGGCACGCACGGGGCGTTGGTGCGCGCGCGCTGAGTGCCTCTTTCCGAGAACTCGATGCGTGAGTCACTGAGGGGTGCGGCTCGGCAGGCAACGGTGCGTCCCCGTCCCGCCTTTTTTTCACACCCCCGAAAGGAAACATGAAAAATAAGGGATTTAAGGAATGGGGGAAAATCTCGTAGCGTGCTCGGAAAGAAAGGATGGAATATGAAACGGAGAGAGAGAGAGGAGGAAGGCAAATAACTAAATAGGTTCGCCCTGCAGCCGCCACGCGCACATTCGCAGCTTTCGACGTGCAAGACTCCGAGTGAGAGACTGTGTGTGTGAGCTTTGTTCTTCCCTTCGGATTGTCACCAAACGGTGGAGAGCAGAATGGAAAAATAATTTTAAAAACACGAATAAAAGTCGTGGGGTGGCGGTTTCTGTGATTCCTGCAAAGCGTGCAATCGGGGTCTCCGGGGGGAACAGCTTCCCATATTCATTGTACAAAATTTGACCACGTTCCACATTTAGGAGGCAAAAACGCCTGTAGGGAGGCAACATGTTTGGCAAAAAGGCCAGAAACCTTGCACACTCTTCCACATTCACACAATCAGTGTACACAAACTTTTACAGTGGGTCACCCCTCGCGGTTCTCGGTACGTCTCTCCCGCTTTTCACCGCAAGCTACCGACGCTCTCCTTCTTAAAAGTGTTCGCAGAGGGGCGAGCTCGTTAACTCCGCATCCTTCGGGGCGGATCGGCGCTCGGAAGTAAAGAGACAAGGCGGCGGGGTTTTGTTGTCGTGTTGTCGCCGCGCTGCCACGCTCCTTGCAGCACTGAGCCCTTCCCGCTTTTCCTCTTACCTTCCCGCCGCACAGTGGGCCAGAAGACCGGCGGAGGCGGCCAAAACTCCAAACGCGTTTTGAGCTCCAGAGTCGCTATACAGGACTCGAATCGAACGTGTGACCCCACCAATGGATTGCTCTCCGAACGACGAATCCATTGGTGGGGTCACACGTTCGGCTCGAGGCCTGTTTAGCGACTCTGGAGCTCAAAACGCGTCTAGAGTTTTGGCCACCTCCACCGGTCTTCTGGCCCACTGTGCGCCGCTCCTCTGCCCTCGCCAGGCTCTTTCAATTATCACGGGGACCACTTTCATAATGCCGCCGTCGCGGCAGCGCGGCAAAAAAACAAAACAAACGAGGCGAAGAAGACGGACGAGAGATAGGGGGTGGGGATGCCGTGCTCGGCGCCGCTACACTCGTGAACGATGTCATGCGGCATGTCGTGCGGGGCGGAGCGACGCAACAAGGTGCAAGCGGCTCCACGCAACTCGCATCCATTTTGCATCGCCGTTCTTTTACTCGTCCGAAGTACTCTTACGTCAATAAATTCACAAAAAATTAAACACAGTTAATTTTATTTTTAATGGACAAACGGCTTATTTGGTTTTTAAAATGTTCTTTTTTAGAGTGCTCCAAACGCTCGGCGTCGCTGGACGGCGATTTCCCGTCCCGACCGCCATAGTTTCCACGGTGCGGCGTTGGTACCACTGCGGGCCGCAAGCTTTATCGCACGGTTAAACCCGCCGAGCGCGTTACACCGTTAAACCGGGAATTCGTCGATTTTACGGTTCGCGCCGCCCCCGCCGCCCCCCGCCGCCGTCCCGTCGTCGTCTAGGTACACTGTCTGGCGGCCTCGCGCTTCGCGAATCGCACCACACTACTGAGCTAGGAAGCGGGTCGCCGCTGCGGGCTGCGCCGGACACTGCGGCGTAAGTCGGCCTGCAGTGCAGTGGACAGGCACGTGTTTGAAAATCATTCGAGGCTGCTCGGTCGATGTGTCTGCACGGCCAGGGTCGCCCGCCAAGGGCCGTAAAAATAAAAACAACAACAAAAACTTGGCTGTCGTTTCTACCGAAAGGTCACTTTCTGTGACCGGGTGCTTTTGCGAAGGTTACCCGCAATGTGGAAGTGACCAGAAAAACGAAATCCAACATGAAGCTTAACGTGCAGACGTTGTTTGCGTTGCAGCTTCGCACGATCCGCAATGTGCGATCCTCGTCGCCACGCTTCGGGGAGCCGCACAACCCTCACCAATACCCCCACCACCATCACCACCACCACCGGCACGCCACGCCCGGCGGCAGGCGGCGCAGGGACTCGCGGGCCGCGTACCGCCGGGCCAACTCCCGGGAAGAGGACGCCTGCTCCGACATCCTGGGCGAGGACGAGGACGACCCGCTGGACTCCACGGTCCTGGACGTCGGCGACGCGCCCCGCGACGCGGAGGCCGAGGCGGACGGCCTGGACGGCCTGGGCGACCGGCACCGCGGCTCCGTCCACTCCGCGCCCGGCACCACCGGCTGCGGTGAGTTGAACCAGTCGAACCTGTGCCACGTGACACAAATTTTTAAATTTCTGTCTCTTTTCCACAGTTTTCCTGTTAGAAAAATTATGTTTTAAGACTTTTAGCTTCCCACAACTTTGCGAAACTATAAATGCCTTCTTTTGCTAATGAGACGCTTGTTAAAAATAAATAGAAAGTATTTAAAAAGATTCTGTTTGGAAAATTTTGATTTAAAATTATACAAATCAACATCGCAGCGCGTGGCAGTCCGTTCCCGCGCCACGCCTGTGCCCGGCACTGCCTACCTCGCGCTTCACAGGCGCCTTGCCCCCCATTACCAAATTATGACCCCGCCTTTAAAAAAGGTGAAATACGGAGACGGTGGCGGCGAGGAGCAATTAAGTTAATCACAATCAATTATGGGCCTCGCAGTGCGGTGCGGCGCGGTGCGGCGCCGTCGGGCTTGCGTGGGTGACGCATTGCCGAGAACAGCGGCGCACGAACTTGTCGGTTGTTCTTCAACAAATTTTCGTTTTGTAGCTAGAACCTGCAGCGCACTTTAATCCGAGACGTGAATAACTTCATAAAACATTTACCGTACCTTTAATGGGCATCGTAGGTACGTCTCGTTCTAATTTTCAGACTGGAAAAACGCAAACGCCCCGAAAGAGGCACGGGGTTTCGGGATTGCGCACTCCCCGCAGCAGGCGGCTGCAGGTCGGAGTGGTGTTGTCTCGTCGTCACAGTGGTGCCTTTTGTCCTGCAGGGGGCTCGGGCTCCGGCCGCGCCCACAAGCAGGACCAGCTGCAGCAGCCGAACCACGGGCCGGGCCCGGGGCCGGGCGGCGCGGCGGGGCAGCCGCGGCACTCCCGCAGCAAGCCGCAGGGCGTGCCGGACCCCTACTACCCCATCTACCTGCCCATCGACCAGGCCTTCAAGGCCAAGTACGTGTTCCACCACAAGCGCGGCAAGAGCTTCCAGGAGCGCGTCTACGTGTTCCTGGAGCACCCCGGCGGATGGATCTGCTTCTTCTACCACTTCTCAGTGTGAGTGACACGTTTTTTCTCTGCCTCCCTCTTCTCGCTCGCTCTACGGTAATGAGGCCGTGCGTCATCAAAGTTGGACAGCGGTGACGTCATCGGCGTGGCGACGTGGGGCGTGGGTTCACGTGGTTCGCGTGAGGAAAAAAATGGGCGATCCAGCCTGACTGCGGGGAACTCCGAGGCCCGGGTATTTCCAAAGGGCTTTGCACACTGCTTTGCATGACGGCGAGGAGGTGAAGCTGTCGTGTTCTGGGCCCTGGGGCGCAGCCCCAGCGACGTTAATCGCTTTGGGGTGTAGTGGCCGCCGCGAAGTAGTTGTTCATAGCGTCGGACACCGTGTTCATCAACGCTCTGGGCGTCCGCTGCGCTTGCTGGCTGCACTGCCGCGTGCGGGTACGTTCATTCTGCAGCGACCAAGCTCGGGCCTGGCTATTCGTCTCTCGCCGTGACGGCCTGATGGTGTGACGAGTGTTGCAACGACCCCGCTCGCGTGCACGCCGCCGGGCTGCCTCCGAACAGCGCCCTCTGTCTCTCTCGCACTCACGCGTTGTCACTGAACTGCAAGAGGTAGAAAGAGAGACGCCGCTGGCGCAGTGGAGCGACAGATTGAGAACGTGGTTGGTTCTCCTCGACGCGTGTTTGATCACGGCGGCTCTGGCACTTCATCACGACTGGGCGGTCGCCGGACGGTGTCGCCGTGGCGAGCAGCGATTGGTGCACCGGCAACCCCCTCCACTGCCCCTCCCGAGACCGCTAGGCAGGGGCTCGTCACCACAGGCACACTACCGACGCAGCCTGGTGCACTAAGTCAACAGAGCGGCGGCGGCATGCAAAAGAAAGGGACAGGGATGCCCGCTGAGGGAGTCGAGACGCCACGCGGCGCCTGTCCGCCCCTTCTTTAACTCCTCCAGCGCGACCCCCCTCCCCGACACCCGCGCCTTTTTGCAGCCTGTAATGGACGTGTGTTGTAGCGAAAATGGAACAACGACTTGGTGACAACCAAAAACAGGCCTCCGAACTGTTTCGCGCCCCGGGGGGCGTGGCGCTGGCGTGGCGCGGCGCTGCGGCTGGAAAGGGCAGGCGGGTAACGACTAGGCGTGGTGGCGGCGGCCTGGAAGGCCTGGAAGGGCTCGGCACAATTTTCGAGTATTTCCTTTTCTCTTTCGCCTTTTCTTCGCGTCTCCTCCCTCTTTTTGCTGCATTTGGGTCGAACTCCCCCTCCCCCTCCGCTCCGCTATCTCGAGCCGAGTCTCGAGCCGGCCGATGTGGCGGAGAAGTGCCGCGAATCAGGGCCAAAGTGGCCTACTGCTCCACCAAGTGGTCGGCATGCATTTTGTAGCCAAGCGTCCGCTGGCGTCGCGAGCGCGAGCGATCCCCGCCCACGGAGTGTTAACCCGTCTGGCGTTTTCCGGCCAAGAAAATGGACCTGTCAGAACGGCGCGTGTCGCCGGCGAGAAAGATGCGCCGTTCTGTTCCGGTGAATTAGTGATCGTTTGGTGGCGCCAGGCTTCGCCAGGCCCGGAGACAATGGGCTCTCTGGTCGGGTAATGTCTCGGCCGGTCTCTTGATTATCCCGATTACGCGGCGAGGCGCAGCGAGCCCATGAAAATTGTAGCGGCCAATCTGCCGGGGCATGCATTTGTAAAACGGGGTCCTCGGTCTTCGAGGCGGGCTGAGTCAAGGTCCGCCGATCTGGGGTGCGTTGGACGCACTGCCGCGCTGTGGCCGCTCCAGTGAATCACGGTGTGACCTTTAAAAGACATTCGTGGAGGTGACGCGATTTTGAATCGAAGTCTCCCAAGTAGATGTCAGATCTGGTGATGTTGTGTGATTTCGGTGACGCAAGTCAAAGCTTTGTGATTCCTGTGTGTAAGGCCGACCGCTACCCCTTGGGTTAGCGCCGCGGCGAGCGAGTTGCCAAGTTCTTGTACAGCGATGCAAGGCATTAGAGCAAGTTTGGGGGGAGGCGCTGCACGCGGGCGCAACCGGAATGGCCGAAATGAATATTGTAACGAGGACATGCACAATTCAGCGTGTTGGCGCGAATTTCCGCTGCAATTTTTGTTTGTCGCGTTCCTTCTCGGTCCCCCGAGCGACGTGCCTGGCGTCGCTGCGATGCCGCCTGCATTGCTTTTTGCCGTTTCGTCCCTCTGGCTCTGGGATCCTCTAAGAGATAGGCGAGTCTGCCTAAAATTGTCGAAAAAAAAGTCAAATGATAGAATTTTGAGTTTGTTTTTCTGTCACTTGCCTGCCCCTGACGTCCGCCCGGCGTCCCCTTGATGTCGCGTAGCCCGTCGTGCCCTTTAAGGCGATCTCGGTAATCCTTTATGTGGTCGTCTGGACCATGCCAGGCCGCGCCACGTGGCTTTCAATGCAGAGTGCGTGGCAAGCCGTGCGCGGTTTACCTTGCCAGTACCTTCAAGGGTTTTATTTTCAGATTTTTTTGGCCTTGGCGCTCGTGGCTAGTTTTCGTGACTGTTTGCGGACTTGTGGCCCGCATGAACCCCGAAAGGGCTGAGGACCGCAGGCAGTGTATAAAAGGGATAAAGGAATAGGGGAATGGATTACGTCGAGCACTACGTGAAGCGCGGCTCGGCGCGTTTGCGTCCATCAAACGAAGTACACGCTGCCGCTACACTGTGGCTGGCATCCCCTGCTGACGCCCTAGCTGCACGACGTAGCCGCGGCCGACAAAAAGAGCATCGCCTCTATTTTTGTGCGCCGATTCTTCCTTTCCACCAAAGAAAGCCAGGAGCCTCGCGGCTACTCCAGCAGGCTTCACCAAGAACCTTATTATTTTAATCCAGTATTATCACTCTTTTGAAACCGCAGGGGCGAACCGGTTCGCCTGCAGGGGCGGGAGTCTTGCGAGCAAGCAAAGAGACCTGCACCGCGAGCTCTCTGTGCTGTTCGTTTTGTTTTTCCTTCGCTTTAGAAGTTTTTCTTCTTCGTTCCTTCGCCTTTTTTGAAATGACAGTGTTTTCCCGCCTCTCTCTCTCTCTCCGCGGCGCTCTATTATTTTAGAGCGCGGCGCGGCGGCCGAAAGGCATTACTGGGTGGCGCGGTGCGGCGCGGCGCGCTGACAGTGGCGTGCTTGTTTTCGACTTTACGACTGCAGTGCGCGGCAACGGCGGGCAGCCCCGCCAGCCGCGGCACAGGTGCGGCTTTTCCTTTGATGGCAGCCAAGTGATAACCGAGGCGCGCGCGATGGTCCGCGGCCTGACGCGGCGCGGCAACTTGAACGGCCAACAAGAAGTATTTCCCGGCGCGCTATCTGGCGCTGCTGGAGTTGCTCTGCTGCTTTGCCTCCACTTTGAGTGCCGCTGGCTCCCACATTAATTATCGCGGCCACCGCCCACCCCGCCCCGCAACGCCGGGGAGATGCCGGCCAGGGAAGAATGCGGCGGATTGGGGGATGAAAAGGTGTGTAGAAAGACAGGGCCGTGATGGACGGCGCAGTGCGCAGCAGGCGCGGGGAGGGCGCCTCTTTGTTGTAAATCTCTTCTCTCATAAACCCTAACGTATTCTGCCACATTTTTACACCCCAGCCATATCGAGGGGAGTACTTTAAACCAAAGAAATGAGGAACGTTCCAAAAATTGACAGGTCGTAGTATAGGTGCCTCAATGTTTATGGAAGCCATCTTAGTGCCCAGTAGTATGGGTGCGTCAGTGTTGCGGGGAGCCATCTTGGTGGCCAGTAGTATGCATGCCTCAATGTTGCAGAGGCAGACACCCTTACTTGTACAAAATTACATCTATGTTTATGAGTCATTTAATTACGACAAAACATGAAAATTACAGAGCAGATCTCATCGGAAAGTAGACAGCTTTTAGTCGAATTGACTGGCGTCTGGTTCGATTTGAGGTTTCGCGTTATCATTTTACATCGCGAAATGGGGAAACGGTACGTCGTCGTGGCACTGCAAGAAGATGGGTTCCTCTTGCCTCGGTGGCGGCCGGCTCCATGACGCCACTACCCCCACCACCGAGCTACCCGCTTTGCACCGCCCAGTCCGCCCAGTCCGCCCGTCTGCCTGTGCATGGCGTCGATATTGCGGAAAAGTGAATATCGGGATAAATTACGGAGAGATAGAAGAAAAAGAAGCTTCTCCTTCGGAATTCACGCGGTGTCGGCATTCACACTTTTTATCCTCCTGTCTGCTGTTAATGAAATGTTCGCGTCCTTTCTTGTTGGGGAGATAAATTGAAGTCTCAAAAACTGTTTTTATTTTGGCGCGGTCCCTTCGGTGAGCCACAGGCAGCGCCGTGACGGGCCTGATAACAAATGGCGTGATAGATGTGACGAGTGTCCCAGGAAAATAACAAAGCGAGTAACTCCGCCCGTAATACCTCCACCTATAACATCAACGAAAGCAACAACTCAAACAATGCCCGAATCAACAATGAAATGAGCTGCACGAACGCCAGATCACTACTGCCACTAAAAACAACAACAATAGAGCCGTGCTGCATCTGCTCGGCGACCGGAAAGAGAGTGTTTTGTGGGTGTGTCATTACATCGATCCGCGGAAATGGACAAACTAGAGAGTGTTTTTCTCTTTCGCAGCCTTTCCGGCAGTGGTAAGTGGTAGTGGTGGTAGAAGGGGGTGGAGTGGGGGCTAGGAGAGGATTTCGAGTAAAGGAGAGACTTGATGAATGAAAGGCCCACTCCTGGCAATGAGTAATTAAGGGTTCCATCATCAAGGCCGGCAAAAAGCTGCGGAAAAGTAGTAGTGCCGTTTTGATTTATGAGTGTTGTGTGGCCTCGGCATGGCTGGTAGCAGAGGCCAGCAGGTCGTTAACGGCCGCGGGTTTGTTGATGCTTTATATACGTCAAATTGGCACGTAAAGTAACGAACAAGAAGTCATTAGATTTGGTGCAAAAAGGCGCCCCTCTGGACTTCTCTTAGTTATGTTGGTCGTCCTGACCGTCCACACGCAGGGCCTTTTCCATTGTTTTTCCAGTGATGGCGTGGGCAAGTGGGGTTCAAAAAAGCCGGG